GACAAGGTTGCGCTGGGGCAGGTTTTCTCCCAGTACATCTGTTTCCCCTGCCAATCTTCATTCCACCAATTGCTCCACAAGCACCCTCACCTATCAACTGGGGCTGGTACAATAGGCCAGAAGTGGCCGCAGTACAAGGGAATAGTCCCACCCCACTAACAATAGAAAAGAAGGAATCCCGAACAAAAATCATGAAGTCCGCTTTCCTATTGCGTAAATTTTCCGTCTTACAGGTTTATTATTATGACTGCTGTTTTTAATGTATTTTGTAAAGAATACATTACTTAAGCAGAGGCTCTCTTTGCGTTAAATTTATCGGATATAACCACAAAGATCTGCTCCGCCGCCATTTGTATTTAGTATTTAGCACTTCATGTCTAGATGGTTCCAATGGTGTCTCATATTCGAGACTGAGTTGCTAGAACTTGCACTTTTAAAATACGAGACGATGGACATAGGAAAAATGAATAATGCAAGTGCCTAATTATATTATGGTGTTGACACCCAGAATATTGAAGAGAGAGAGGCGCTCCCCGACTCCCATATTCGTGAGAGAGCAAAATACGGCCATGAGTTCGGTAGGGCTCGGAACCAAGAAACACTGTGTTGGCGAGGACCAGCGGCAATTTATTCGACCGGACAACGAATGTTGGTAAATTTAATTATGTTGGCATAGCTGTAGCGTTATAATTCAATAATAATCAGTCTGCTAGCTGATCGTGAATTCGAAACCATCAATGGCGATCACTCACTAAAGAATACAATATGTATTATACTACGTACTCGTATGCATGCTCGTTACGAAGCTGACAGACAGAAGTCTGACCAGAATGGATTATAACGGAAACTAGACAAAATGTGCGTTTCAAACCAGTTCCACAGTTTTATGCTCTTACTACCTAATATTACACTACAAAATGTCAAGGTCATGAAACGCTGCTGAGTATCAAAGTCACACGAAAGTCAGGAAAAGAACAGTGATTGCGTAATTGTTTCCGATGTTGTGAAGACACCGGAACTCATTCATTTATAAGACAATGCGCATGCGTGTCATTATATTTCTAATTAAAGAAATGCTGATCTCTTGACGTATTATAGAGGTCAACAGAAGTCATGCCTCCAGAGGTCATAAAAATATCTGTTTATCTATCTATCTATCTATCTATATATATATATATATATATATATATATATATGTGTGTGTGTGTGTGTGTGTGTGTGTGGCTCTATAGCCCTTTATTGGTCCTTGGCCGCTTTTCAATTCCTTAATCTATACACAGTCTGTAGGACTCCTTGGATGGGGGCTCAGCCCGTCGAAAGGCCTTTACCTATAGACAGAACAACACAAACACAGAATAAACGCTTACAGACATCCATGCTTTTAATTGGATTCGAACCCACGACCCCATTGTTCGAGCGGGCGAAGACTGGTCATGTCTTAGACCGCGCGGACACTAATTAGCTCATAAAAATATAGGGACTTCACGAGTCTGTCTCTATAAAGGATTTCACATTCCTAGCTCCTGCAGTTCAATAGTTACCGCTATCAAGCCGAGAACGAAGGAGAATGTTCTCACGATTTGCATGTTATTTGACATTCTACAAAAATAAATACCAAAATAAAAGTTGATTATTTTTCGAAGATCTGTTACCATAATTTTTAAATTGAACCGTATTCCATCTGCAATGCAACGAAGTCAACATTTTCAACTAAAAAGTGTTTATTAAATATTTAAAAATATTATTAACTATGTACGAAGTACGTACGTTTTTCTTGCTGCTACATGTTTCGGTCGAATATGGGTCATCATCAGGCAACACTTATTATCTGGGGAGACCGTTGCACTGTTACCATAAGCCTGCATCCCTTCAGAAAGTGAACTCAGTGGCGCTAGTGGCCGCGTCACAGCTCAAGCGGTTAGTCGCTGGCTTTCCACCGCGGCGGCCCGGGTTCGATCCCGGGTCTGGTCAAGTGGGATTTGTGGTGGACAAAGTGGCGCTGGGGTAGGTTTTCTCCGAGTACTTCGGTTTCCCTTGTCACTGTTCATTCCACCAATTGCTCCACAATCCCCCTCACCTATCATCTGGGGCTGGTACAGTAGGCCAGAAGTGGCCACAGTACAAGGGACTCAGTCCCACCCCACTACCAATAAAAAATAAAAGAAATAGCGGCGCTAGTGGCTTTCTGGGCTCGCCGTTAAGAAAATAAGGATATATATATTTTCTGCGTCTTTTTATGAAGCGTCAGTATTTAGACAATGCAGAGGAGAAAAGTAGGATGTTTGGTGAATGAAGAGTTCGAAGCAAGGCACCGTGGCTTGATAAGGGTACTGTCCGGCATTCGCCTGAAGAGATTGGGAACACTAGGAAAAACGCTCAGACACTTTGGTGTCAAGGTCCAGATTAGAACCGAGCAACTCCCCAACAGACGTCTGCAGCTTCACTACGAGACCAACGTTTTCAGTTCCTGTCCATCTTAAGGAAAACTGCGGACATAACATAAAGAAACAAATATTCAAGTTCTACAATTTTTCCTTGTAACAGGACGTGGAGGCCCATAAGGTTGTGAGATGTTGAGGTTCCCACATTTTCTAGACAATCGGCTCATAGATGGTGGCAAAGTTGTCAGCCCTACGTGCCTGCCGCCCTTTACCCCCAAGATTATTCGAAGAATATTCCTTGTACTCATTTCTGTTAGAGGCTGAGTCGAACCCAGGGCCATAGTGCGGCTAGAAGGATTCGATAAATTCAAAAAAAAATCCACCTCATAGGGACTCGAACCCGGGACCTTCCGACTTATAGTATAGTACCTCAACCAACTACGCTGCCGCGTATCCGTGGTAGAGTAGCCGGCATAGCGACTGGCTACGGGCTGGACTACTGAGGGGTCGGACTCCGAGTCCCGGCGGGGGCAAAAATTTTCTTCTCTCCAAATCGTCCAGACCGGCTCTGGGGCCCACCCAACCTCTTATCTAATGGGTACCTGGGGCTCTCTCCCCAGGAGTAAAGCGGCCGGAGCGTGAAGCTGACCCCTCACCTCCATCTAGTGCCGAGGTCAAGATAATGTGGATCTATACATCCACTCCCCCCTACGCCTTCGTGGCGTAGTGCTTAATTCTCTGAGCAGAAGGATAACTTTTCCTTTTAGAATTTTTCCTTTCGAGGGTGTCATAATTGGCCCTGCTCCATGGAGTTCAGTTACAGATCCTAATATTCGATAGGAATGAAAGTAAAATAACGAGCTAATTTGGGGGGAATAATGAGAAATAATCACTTTCTAATTGAGTGTGTATAGTGTTCAAATACTGTCCTGTCTAATTTAGGAGTCAGTTGTTTAGACATACGTCAATTAAAGGAATTCTGATGATAGTTTGTTATCCCATAATGTTCAGTGTATACAGCTCAGATTTTAACCTCCTTAGGCATACGTGACATACGTACAAAAATTCTCTGTATATTTAATTTCGTGTTAATTATTTCCATTTTTTATTACTAGTGGGGTGGGACTAAGTCCCTTGTACTGCGGCCACTTCTGGCCTATTGTACTGGCCCCAGATCATAGGNGTAAGCCTAGGACCACTGGGGCTGTAGTGCCAAGGAAAAAGAAAAAGCTAATGTTATGGCTCTTTAGATGACTTGATGAGGAGTCGTCCAGCGGCGAATCCTCAGTAATTCAAATCCGGCCAATTGTCCAGTTTCGTTTGAGTCGTCTGTTGTCTTCTCTTGTCGATAGCGTCTTTAGGAGTGGGTTTTTATGAGTTACGATTTTGTTGTGATGTCTGTTGCTTTTTTGTTGGATGACATCTTGTACGGAAGATATACCGAGATCGGAGTGGAGTGATGCGTTGGAGACATACCCTGGTGCGTCGACTATCATTCGTAGGATCTTAGATTGGCTTCTTTGGATTATTGCTATGTTAGATTTGCTGGCGCAGCCCCAGATGATAGGTGAGGGTGATTGTGGAGCACTTGGTGGAATGAAGATTGGCAGGGGAAACCGAAGTACTCGGAGAAAACCTGCCCCAGCGGCACTTCGTCCACCACAAATCCCACTTGACCAGACCCGGGATCGAACGCGGATCGCCGCAGTGGGAAGCCAGCGACTAACCGCTTGAGCTATGGCGCGGCCCTAATTATTTCCATACACATTACAATGCTGCAATAAGGTGAAATAAAATATATGCAACAGATCCATATGAGTACATTGTTTAGTACATACTTGAATTCATTCTGATAACTGGAAAATATGTAAATTTGTTTAACAGTATTATATCTTTATACTTAACTGTCTATTAAACTTAAGTGAAATTTCTAGACAGCGCAGGCGTGAAGAAAATTTATGAGCTGTGAATGGGTTCAATTTGAGAGGGGCGGATTCCTGTTTCTTTGCCTCAGTATGCGCTCGCATAAACCTCGCTGAATTTATGTTCAAAATTATGGAATTACGAATATCATTGCAGGGGTGTAGTTTTTCAGCACCAATATTGGCCTACTTGATAATTGTCATAAACACAGTATTCATCTTGTCTATCATTTGACTTATTAAATTTGCATAGTTTTAGCCTATCCGACATTCCATTATTAGCTTACGAAATTGGGAAAAGTGCTTGGTTTGACAATATGGCGGCTGTTGATAAGATGCCAGAAGGATGATGAGTTGCAAAGGATTTCGAAGGAAGTGGTTGTGGCCTAATTTAAGATAGTAACCTGGATTTTTCTTGGAGGCAGTAAGGAAAACAAAGACAAACTTCAGACAGGATAGCCGGTGTCCCAGCCGGAACACGAACCAAGAACTTGCGAACACGAGTCAAAATATTTACCACTATGCCAATCTCTTCGGCCACATTTATTTAGTCTTACGAGAGAAATTGGAGTATTTTATTCCGGTATAATCTATAATCGACAACGCTATTTTTATTTTTCTCGACAAGGATACGTTGTTAATTGTTTTCTTCTAGAAACAAATTCTCTTTCGAAAATATAACAAAATCTTTATCCTCCACCTTGCAGAGGGCTCTAGTGAGCGACTCATGTATTTGTCTTCATTTATATTGGACTGTTAAGAGCGTTAAGAGAATCCGTAAAAACTGATCGCCCTTCGCTCACGTTGCTTTGAGACCCCATCGCGTCTCAAATAATCACTTACCGCAAAAAGAAAATCAATGGTCTTTACATGGTATTAAATGTTTCCCTTTTCACTACTTCGAAATTTGAAGCAAGCTGGCGGAACGAACAGTCCGAACATAATGACTGCACTCAGCAAAGCGGGAAGGAGTCCACAGCCAAACGAGTTCAGTTCAGTTCTGGGGAAACAGACGCTTACAGAACTGGAGCAACGAATTTCATGATACAGACGGGACAGACATCTGCCATAATGCTCGGTAAATATTCTGATCAGGGCCAACAGGACGTGCAACGTGATTTCTGCTCCCAGAAAGAAAAGATCGGGAGGGGGGAAGGAATTACAGGTAACCTACGAGCAACAAAACGTATTAGAACTATTTCATGTGTTTACAACGATTGAACACAAGTATTATATGAAGAATGTCGTCTTCTTGGATGTTGCGCCGTGTAGACATAGTATAAACCAACCATTCGAAGGAATGTATCGCCTCCATCTTCAGGGTAGAAGAAAAAACAGAAAGAAAAATCCGCGAGCGAGGAACCAGCTCCCATATTTTCTAGACAATCGATTCACAGATGGCGGTGGGTTGTCAGTCTTACGCCGTCCGTCCTTTACCCCCAAGAAGATTCCGGGTACCCATTTCTGTCAGAGGCTGCGTCGGCCCCAGGGTCATAATGAAGCTGGAAGAATTAGGTCAATTGAAAAATTCAATGACATTGGGAATAGAATTCAGGACCTTCTGGCTTGTGCTTTAACCAACTACCCTACTGCTTGTCCCCCTTATAACACCTTGTAGACCATCGAAAGTCAACCGACGTTTCGGAGTAACATGTTGCCATCATCCTGAGGGTTGAAGCCAAATAAGAAACCAGCATGGAGCAGCTAGCATTTGCTAAAACAAAAACAAAATCCGTGGCCTATAGTCCGCAGGCGAAGTATACCAATCGAGTGACCGCCGATTTCGGCGAAGTTAGTGCCAAATTTAGCGGATAGCGGTGTCGCGTGGTTAGCGCAACGGATCCCCACGGCCATTAATTTCGGTTTTCTAGCTCGGAGCCGTTGTTTCCCCCGACAGCTAAGGGATCCGATGGGCGAACTTAACTTCACATAATCTTAGTTACTTAGTGTCAAATTAGTGCGGCCTCCGTAGTCTAGGGGTAACGTTCCCACCTCATGACTCACGGTACGCGGGTTCAAACCTGGCGGAGGTAGTGGAATTTTTAAGGGCGGAAAAATTCAGGGAACAAGTCCTCCGGGAGGGACTTTAAGCCGTGGGTCCCGTGTCGTAGATTTACTGCACGTAAGAGAACCTCATGTCTCTAGGAAACCTCTGAGCTAAATTTAGGCAATTTCCCGCCCAAGTAGCTTCCAATGTCTCCGGTAGATGGGGGAGCTTAGGTACCACTGCCAGAGGAGGGACGACCTCACTGACAGAAAGGGACTATCAGATACCACTGCCAGTAGAAGGCCGAAACCTCGCTGGCAGAAAGGGAACGATAGCAAACACCAGTACCGGTAGGGTATGGAGACAGTATAAATTCAAAGGGGGACGCACAATAGATCAAACTGGTCGCGGTGCATGGGGTAACCTACCCCCTCAATACTGAATAACTGAATAGTGTCAAATTAAAACAGATTGTTAGTTCAAGCGAACTAGTCTTTGTAACATTTTGCTTACATCTTGTAGCAGCCCATAAATAAATGAAAAATTATCCTCACGAGGCTGAGTGGACCCCGTGCCAGACCCACTGCGTGTGAGAAAATATGGTAGCGCCTTGAATCGAACCCGGAACTCTGATCACTAGACCATAGAGGCGTTCTAGCATTTGCTAAAATGAACAGAAAATTTCGGTTAGACCGCCTGTCAGGATGACGAAGCAGAGCAGGGTCAAACCACTTGACGACAGGCTGCCATTATCAGTGAATAAAAAGCGGAATGTCAAGGCCGCTTCAGTAGACCTCGCTATTGGTTGAGCTGTTTCCACATCTCAACTACATAGCAAGCCGGACGAGAGCTATTATGCAATCCTTCCGAAGTGAATCTGCTGTGTAACGGTCACGTGACCGAGCAGTACAGTTTCCATGAATATAACGCTTACCGCAACAAGAAACAAGTGCGTAGGCAAACTACAGGAAGTCGCATCAGTGAGATTGGACGTTTCAGTAGCAGTCCCTGGTGAGTATATGCTTCTGTTTCGTGTGACGATGTTTATAGCTATAGTCCCCACCAACAATCCTTAAATCCACTGCAGAAAGTGTAGGCTCGGCCCGGGTAAATTGCTGCTGGGCTCGCCAGCACATGGAGTAGCATAGAATTCTGTTATAGTGTGAAGTATTTATTGATATGAGAAATTTAGAAAATTCCTAATGACTAGTTTCAGAGTTGCAAAGGAACTCTCGTAGAAATTAATGCCATAGGTATAATGACTACCCGATTTCGGTGAAACTTGACAAAACAGCGTGTCAGATGAGGACAAAATCTTCTGCTACTTTTAACTGCCTGTCAAAAATACCAGTCTGACTGCCTTGCGTATTCCTGAGGTGGGAACAACCAAGCATCATTTACAATGATTTCTGAAATTGTACCTACGGTTTCAGGCCTACTGGGCCGCTTTGGACTCTCAGGGTATGACCGGGGTCTGAAATCTTCAGACTGAAGCGCTATATTCCGAAAATAACATTCACTACTTACTGAGTAAGTGACAGCACAAATTAGCTGAACTAGACAGATATGCTTCTTAATACTCCGATACGCCTGTTTCGTATTTATCTCTGACTAATTTAACAATGAAACACATTGTATTTGTCTATACTGTATATTCTGATATGCACGTACATAATGTACATGTATATTTGAAGAGTTGAGAAGAATATCTGCTTTGCTCTTACATTACAACTTATTATAGAATTCAATGGTCTTCAAACCCCTTGAGAGCGTAGTCGGTATAGCGACTGGTTACGGGCTGGACGACCGAGGGGGCGGAGTTCGAGTCCCGGTGAGGTCAAGAATATTCTCCACGTCTTCCAGACCGAATCGGGGTCCACCCAGCCACCTATCCAGTGGGTACCTGGGGCTCTTTTCCCGGTGGTAAAGCAGCCGGGGCGTGAAACTGACCACTCACCTCCAAATAGTGCGGAGGTCAAGAAAATATGGAGCTATGCATCCAATCCTCCATACGCCTTCATGGCGTAGTGCTTAATTAGTTAAGCACAGGGGACAACTTTACCTTTTACTTTTATACCAATAAGCTTACTAAGTATTATTACGTAAGGCAGGTCGCAAACAATGCATCTGAATTTTCCCACTTTCAAGTGTAGATTTCCTATAGAGAGAGTAGTAAGTGTTTTGACCTTGATCCGTATTATTATGCCTTCAGCAAGGAAGAATCTAAGAATGTCTGTCATATATATAGAACAGGATACGGTTTACGAACAAATACATGTGCGTATTATGCGTAAAAACCGGTCACTTGTAACAACACCGCAAGATTGCAGCAGTGAAGTCTGTTGAGAAGTGCCACGCTTCCGGCGTCCTTCAACGAAAGATATTACTGAGAAAACATAAAATGGTTTTCTTTGTGGTTTATTGCACTCTAGACTGCTGGCATTCTAAGAGCACAACATTTCGGAAAGTGCAGTTGGGGGAGGGGAACCTGCTCAGTTGGGTCCGTTAGATACAGCTAATCTCGATCATTTAAAGAAAGCTACAGAGTAGGTGCCTCCCCATCTTTTAACTTGAGGAAGGAAACATATCCAGTTCCTCAACTTTGTGTTCTTTTAGAATCTTAGATGGAGGCACACCCCGAAAGTTAGTAATCCCGAAAATACACAGCGCACGTAATAAGTGAAATCGTGGAAATATGCCTCAACACAGTGGATCAATAAAGATTTTGTCTAAGATATCAAACCTCCACTTGAATTTTCAACAGATGTATTTCACTATTAAGGCTACAATAATTTATTCATGTCTTGTACGGGAACAGCCAACAACATTTCTTTCTTACTTACTTAATCGGTTTCGAGGTTGTTTTTTTTTTATCATTTTACAGTTGGACGAGTGATCAGCTTGTCGCGAGGCCTCTACCTAAACACAGAATAAACACATACACATACATGCATGCCTTGTGTGGGATTCGAACCCACGATTCCGGCTTCCGAGTAAGCGAAGACAGTGCATGCCTTAGACCGCCCGGCTACCGTGACCGACCCAACAATATTTCCGGTAGAAAAAAGTTGAAATTGTCTCTACACCTAATTAGTTAAGCACCAAGCCGTGAAGACATAAGAAGGAGCTGAGATGTAGCTCCGCCATTCCTGTACTCGGCGCTAGTTGGATATCAGTGTTCACATCTCCAACCCCGGACCGCTTTACCCCCAAGGAAAGGTTTCCCGGTACGATGAACCTTTCGGATAGGAGGCTGGGTGGCACAAGAACCTGTGTGGACGCTGTGAACAAGAGGTCAATCTCTTTCACCTGCTGGGAATCGAACCCCAGCTGTCCAGCCCGTAGCCCATTGCTATACCGACTGAGCTATTCCGGCTCCCACACATCCAGGAACACGGAATGTGAATAATCTTCGTGACACGTGTGAGGCTTATTCCTGAATAGTTAAAAAAGATAAAGGTGTCCCTGTGATTAACTAATTAAACACTACACCATGAAGGCGTATGGAGGATCGGATCCATAGCTCCATATTTTCTTGACCTCGACACTAGTTGGACGTGAATGATGAGCTTCAAGCCCAGACCGCTTTACCCCCGGGGAAGGAGCCCCCGGTACGCATTGGATAGGAGGTTGGGTGGACCCCAAAGCCGGATTGGACGATTTGGAGAAGAGAAAATTCTTCACCCTACCGGGACTCGAATTCCGATCCCTCGGTCTTCCAACCCGTAGCTAGTCGCTATACCGAATACGCTATACCTTCTAGTAGATCGAACAAACAATTTAACAGGTGATCTGTGTTGTGGTCGCCTGTAAGCCGAAGTGGCAAAACGTGCGTGCCTAGCAACAATCCCTGCCCAGACAACAATGCTGAGCTGCAATTGATATCTAGACGGGGGCACATATTGAAGACTGGTCCACTGCCCGCGGGTGGTGGTTGTGGAAATTTATGATGCGTTCGGTACCCAAACCTGCCTCATCTCAAAAGAGGACTGGCAAAAATGTATAGGTTCTTCACATTTCTGAACAAACCGTGGGAAACAGGCAGGGTTGAGACCCTGCACTTGTTATCAATGGTATGAGAGCAGCAGCTGTTCCCGCAGTTCTCTTCACACGGTCATGCACTCGGTTGCTACTTGTCTTGTGCTGACGGTCGGGCTCACTTTCAATAAATGCATGTGCGCCAATTAGATAAACAGATACCCATTCATATTGTAGTATTAACGATAACAAAATACAAGAAAGTTAGAAGTTAACATTACGTACTGCAGCGGTTCTGCTACAGTTTGCCACTAGACACAAAACTGCACAGAACGAACACGGCTCCACGGCTGAAACTGCGGAGTGACACAGGTGACAGCATTAAGAACGTGTCTGAGGGACAGAAGTAAACTTACGGAGGATTTTGATGCCTTACGAGAAAATAAACCCAAAAAGTATGAAAATATCAGATGAAATAGTCATTAAATTTGCCGGACCTATGTTTTTTTATGAACTTGCTCTGTGGATTCGATATGTGGAGTCCATCCCCAAAGTCTGCCTACCGCTTAAAGATTGATTCTGTATATCTTACCCCCACTCCTTCCCCGAGCACGAGAGAGCAGAATAGTAAAGCAACTGTTTCGTCTTCGCTAGAAAAATGATATCTCACAAGTTTGTTTAAGATAAAGCTGTTGCCTCATGATAACTTTTGAGCTTAACGAGTTGCGTGAGTCTTAAAAAAAAATAAGTGCTTTCCTCAACGCATGAACATCTAAGTTTGCTCAAGCAGTAAAATGTGCTATGAAGTTGGGTGAGATGACACCGACAAGATATTAGTATGCTGGCCACAATTCGGCCTGTTGTACCAGCCGCTTGTAATGACAAGAGTGGAGCAGCTAGTGACAGGAGAAACCGAATTACTCAGAGAGAACATGCCCCAGTACCATTTTTTTTCATCAAAAATTCCACACACTTGACCTCGGATCGAACCCTAGCCTCCGTGGTGGGCAGTCGGCGCCTGACCACCTGAGCTGTGGCAGAGACTGATGAAGTCCTTAATTCCAAATCTGTCAACAGTACGGACTACAATGGGTGTTTTCTCATGCTGCTACTCAGTTCATGGAGACTGATGTTAAGACAGCGCTGTAAATTGCAACTGCTTCCTCCAAAGGTTTCTCTTTCCGGGTTACTTCCTGCAGTCATTCTCTCAGTCCTTTCGGCAATGAAAATTTCAAGAATTTATACAGCTTCATTGCATATAATCTGTCCTGTCGTGTAAACACAATTTTTCAATATCATTAACTACTTATTTCTAGTTCATTCAAACCTCGCAATTCTAACTTAGGTAGTAAATAAAATTACCTTTAGCGAATCCATATCATAGGAGGCTGGAATGAAAGTCATGTCCGAGGCAATTTCCCGCATGGCTGACAGAAATGTTTTCCATTACTTTTTCTTAAATTTTTTAAACGATTGTGTGTAATTATTATATTTTTCCAGTTGAATTTTCCAACGTACGAAGAAAATGACGATCGACCTCTACTATTTGCCCCAAAGCGCTCCATGTCGTGCAGTTATTCTGACAGCCAACGCCGTCGGAGTTCAGCTCAATTTGAAATACTTGGAGCTGTTCAAAGGGGAGCACATGACGCCCCAGTATCTTAAGGTATGTGACCTCATAAATCTCGTGAATTGGAACTAGGTTTGTTTTACTTACTGATAGTCAAATCATAACATATACTGCAAGACCTGAAGCCTTATCAGCAGCAAATGCTGATAAAGTCTTGTCGGGCTATCAGCCGTGTCAACTGCTTAAAAATTACCTACTTTTCAGTGACCAACTCTGAAACGTCGGTAACGTTTAACCATCTGACATAACTGATAATGTAAAAAAATTTTACAAAATCTGTTGTTGAGAAAATACAACCACCATTTTCAACAACAATTTCTAATAATCATTTTCCATGAAAATTACTACAGCTGACAACAGAGGGGCTATTGTTGCAGAACCTCCTACCAGAAGAATTGTACTAGCTGGGACAATCATATTCTTCGCTCGGTCGGCTCAGTGCTACCATAATTTTACAAAAATAATAGTAATTTTATTCCATAAAGATATAATAAGAAGACAGTTGCATTGTGTTAAACACAAATTAGACGACGCCTGGGATAATGCACTTCAGTTCTCTGCGGTTCGTTTCTGGATCGACTAATCGAAAGAGTCGCCATGAATCACAGTTTTACGTAGCTTTTCATTGCTACTTCTGGGATAGTACCTCATAACCAACTTTGTCCTGCTACATATTACGTCAATATCAGTACTTGTTAAGTAAGCTTTGTAACGAACGAACGAATTAAGCACTACGCAATGAAGGCGTATGTTGGAGTCGATATATAGATCCACATTTTATTGACCTCAGCACTAGCTGGAGGTGAGTGGTCAGCTTCACTTCCCGGCCGCTTTTTCCTCGAGGAAAGAGCCCCCGATATCCATTGGATAGGAAGTTGTGTGGACTCCAGAGTCGGTCTGGACGACTTGGAGAAGTGAAAATTCTTGACCCTACCGGGACTCTTAACTCAGACCCCTCAGTCGTCCAGCCCGTAGCCAGTCGCTATACCGACTACGCTACCCCGGCTCCTCAAGCTTTGTAACAAAAGCGCCAAATGTACAATAATTGGGGCCAAACCATTTTCCCGATATGTATCGGAAATTATTTAAAAATGAAAATTAATCATTTATTTCAACAGCACCATACGTATCTTCAGCTACTGTTCACCTTACAGTTCAACAGCACCACTCAGTATAATATCAGTGCGTCTGTGTGCTATATGTAGTAGATCGTTAGTTGAATATTAATTACTGACATGTTGTTAATGAACACCACAGCACTATAAATAACTTGTATTGTCTTCCCTGTTTGAAATAAAACTGTGGATCAAGTTCCTTTTGACAAGGGCAAAGTTTTTGGTTCGAATCAAGTCCGCAGACTGTTCGACAGTTTTTATCCACTACCACACGGTTTTAATCATAGGGTATTAGAACCTCGGCTGTAGCTTCTGACTTCTTTTACACTTCAGTGGCCACTGACGGTTTTGACCCATCGCAGGGTTTAACCACGGCCTTCTCCGCTGCGGTTGTAGTCAGCATATCAGCAGATAAAAACGTGTGTTTGTTGCCCGCAAAATACACGTTCCACGAACAAGTTTCGTTCGCTGTGTCGCATTCTTAGATCAAAGAAATGTGAAGGAAACAGAACGCTGCACCTCGCTACTCCTCTGTGAGTTAGCAGCCTTAGGGGTTTCTAAGCATTCTGAACTACTTTAACGTGAATTATTCTTACAAATGTCATACAATGAAAAATTTGGAATGGTTCCTTATGAACAGATATTGTGATCAATTTAAACACGCTCTTTGATTAACCTAATTAATCACCCTGCAGAATATAAGCTGAAGTATTCTTTCATTGCCACTGTTCTGACTGAAGTCTTCATTGCAGCTGAATCCCCAGCACACCGTACCAACCCTAGACGACAACGGGTTTACTCTAGGCGAAAGGCAAGTATGCTAATAAAAAAGGTAATTTTGTCCCTGTGCTTAACTAATTAAGCACTACGACATGAAGGCGTGTTGGGGTGTGGATGTATAGATCCACATTTTCTTGGTCTCGGCACTAGTTGGAGGTGAGTGGTCAGCTTCACGCCACGGCCGCTTTACACCCGGAGAAAGAGCCCCCGGTACCCATTGCATAGGAGGTTAGGTGGACCCCAGAGCCGGTCTAGACGACATGGAGAAGTGAAAATGCTTTACCCTACCGGGACTCGGACTCCGACCTCTCGGTCGTCCAGCCCGTAGTCAGTCGCTATACCGACTGCACTATCCGGGCTTATTACAAGTATCCTAGTAGACTTACTTATCTTTATCTTAAACTTTAAGTAAATTTGCAGAGCTGATTTTTATGATCTTGTGTTCTCAAAATAGTTTGTTAAAACAATTCGATCTTCACATATACACGTGTAAAAACAAAGAGAACCACGCTCCATGTGATAATTGAAAGTATCCTGTATAACCGTACAAGAGCTACAGAATTTCAGTCTCAAATATGTAGAGCAGAGTTTAGGCTGCTGATTATTCAAACTGAACTCCGTATACTGTAAACCTAACACAGAGACCCTGACTTCACATAATCTGCCTGCCGCAATTAACGAGCAATTTGCTTGTAATACATGACTCAACATATTTGCTTATACATATATGGCTGCCAGCATGACTTCTCAAGTTGACTCAAGCGATAATGTTTCTGACTTTCATTCGGGAGGGGGTACATCCGAATCTCGACCAGGTCACCAGTATTATGACTGAGGTTTCCTGTCGTTTTCCTCAGTATATCAGGGCAGATCATGAAATAATAATTTAAATGAGATGAGGACTGCTTCCTTTTACATGCTTACCGATTCATAGTGACTCTCATTCAGCCTTTCGGCGCCCTGTAATAAAGTTACTGGCAGCGTCTGAAGACTGAGAACAAAAATGAACAACAAAAAGTAGAATGTGACTTACAGAAAACAGTAATATAAAACGGTTCATAAATTCACAAATTCAGAGACTGCTGTAAGTTTCAGGACATGGATGCAACATGGTAGAGCTGGCACTGAGAAAATTAACTGTCCTCAGCTGCACAAAAGCTGTTATACCTATCCTTAAAATTCTTAATTCGCATAACAGGTGAGGTAACGAGAAATCATGGTATCTTTTTAATTGGAAACCTATTCTGACGGTACAGATGTAACCCTTAGCGCATACCAGATATTTTCTTTCAGCATGTTTCGATTTCCAACATTCTATTAAAGATGAATTTAGTTACAGTAAAAATTTTCAATGTAGGTTTAGTTCACAGGCAAATTACGTACGATGCCTCTATTTTGAATTTTTCGTTTGTGAGGTGCACATAGCCTACTTTATGTAGATTAACAACTTTACGTGTTCGTCTGGAATGAAATGCCCATGTTAATACTCACGTCCTATAGTCGCGCCATCATCTGCTACCTGGTGGAACAATATGCCAAAGATGACTCTCTCTATCCGAAGGAGGCGAAGAAGCGCGCTCTTGTTAACCATAAGCTCTACTTCGACGCTACAACTCTGAATCAAAGATTCTTAAACTATTATGTAAGTATAATGAAAATTTTATTCAAAATACATGGTTCAGAATTAAATGTTTTTCATCTATCTTAACAAAGCTATAATTATTATCACTGCTGTTGTGTTTGTCCAGTATGTAATTAGTTCTATCTACTCTGTGCTGAGTCTGTAATTGGCCTTGCGGCTGTTGGCTCAGCACATAAACAATAAAGAATTGAATTGAATTGTNATTGGCCTTGCGGCTGTTGACTCGGCACATTAATAATAAAGAATTATTATTAACTTCTACGTGCGTATGTACACGTATGAGCTTTTCTTGCCACATGACGGCATAGACACTGGAAATGTACTCATCTTATTTTTCTCACTTATTAATGATAAGTCTGATTTTTTCATGGAGCTGTTATTAATTTATACAGACAGCATTATTTTGTATTTTCTGTTAGTTATTTTGTGCCCTTCTACTTACTCGTGTTAACTTTGTAATAGGCATCCAAGCTGTTATATTTGCGCATATATAAACAAGAAATGAATTGAAATGAATTATTTTTATTCTTTCCAAATATTTATACTTTTCATTTCTCAATTCTCAATAACAATTTAGATTTGTGTTAATGAAATTATTATTATTATTATTTTTTTTTTTTTACTTCTCTTCATTAATGTGTTTTTCCTCCAGTGTTTGCCTGTAATTTTACTCTGACTTTATGTTGTGACTGTCCATAATGTAATTACTTGTGTCTATACTGTGCTGTCCATAATTGGCCTTGTGGCTGTTGACTCAGCATATAAATAATAAAAAACTGAATTGAATTAATTATTCTTGTATTTATATGATACCAAGTGACTTGCATGTCCCATAATCACAGTTCTTACAAATTTTTAAACTCTGTATTCCAACGAAAATGGCCTTGAGGCTAAATGAAATTTGAGATAAGCAACTTATGATTTAAGTTGCAACATATTACACCATTCTAAATGTATTGTGAAACTAAATATGTTCTCTCCAAAAATACCAGAATTTTTCCACTGCTAAGCTACTTCATTATGAAATAGCAATTATTTAGTAAAAAAATATTAATTGAATTTTATTAACACACAAAATAATGAACCTGACAATATTTTTATTAACGGTATTCTCTTCTTTAACGAAATGAGAGGAAATAAACATATTTTGAATTTCCCAGCGAAGATTGCAATTCTGATTTCGTTAAAGAATAAAATTAACTAACATGAGACATTAGTATGATTTGTGAGTATATTTTACCATCAGAACAATGAGGAAAAGAAATTTCAATTCTGTTCTCTTACCGCTGTAGGTACCGATCATGTTTGAAGGGGCCGAGCCAGTCCCAGCCCAATATAAGAAGCTGGAGGAGGCATATGAAATTTTCGACAAGTTCCTAGAAGGACAGACGTGGGCAGCTGGTGACCACCTCACCATCGCTGACCTTGCGCTCGTGGCTACAGTATCCAGCGCAGAAGTAAGTACAAATTCCTTCTGTTGCTGGTCCACTGGCGAGAGAATGCAGCGCTGTTTCTGGTAAACTGGATCTGAACTTGACACCCAAGGAGTTTCTGAAAGGTGGTTGAGCCTTTGTTGTTACATATTTATCTGCATCCTTTTCATTTTTCTTTTTTGGAACGTTTTCGTCATTGTCCCATTTTTTTATCAACATCACTGTTAAATTTGTTTCTGAAGATTGAATTACCTGATGAGAATTACGGAGTTGGCATATTTACTAATAATTAGTTGTGATATTCACTCCTTGATCATAACAAACAAAACTTGTATTCAACAGGAACTGTAAGCAACAAGACATAAGTGTATATATAATGAAGGAATAGAGGATGCAAATTAACATATCTGAAACATAAAACCAAAAGTCATAGAAAGAACTGTGTTTCATAACGCTTAACATAACCTTCGTTACGCTGTAGCATTCTATCAAATCGTATTGAGTAAGGTGTCATCAAACAAATGACTAAACCTTACGTGGTGTCTGATATTAAAATGTTAAGATCTTACTTTGTGGGCTGTTTAATTACGCTTTCTGTATGAAAACAAGTACGTTAAACTGATACCTTAACCGAGTACCCCACTGCCAGCTTGTTCGGTGCCTTCACAGGAATTAATTTTCAGGCAGCAGAGTTTTATCTTGAAGCAACTCCTAAATTTTGAGTTTAAATTCAAGGAACGATTAACTGTTTCCCCTAATAAATGAACATAATGCTTGTGTTGAATTGTTGTAGTCTAAAATCTAAACAGTTTTCAAATTGGGGTTACAATACTACAGCAGTTTTATGCCCCCCCCCTTTGGCGCTACACCCCAATTTGGGCCTTGGCCTACCTCCATGAAACTCTCCAATTCACTAGATTTTAGACATTCGGTAGGACTCCTTGGGCGGATGATCAATTCATCGCAAACAGAGAAGCGCGCACGCACGCACGCACACGCACGCGCGCACACACACGCACACTCTCTCTCTCTCTCTCTGAACATATATGCCCTGAGTGGGATTCGAACTTACGATCCCGGCTTCCGAGCGAGCGAAGTCAATGCAAGACAAAGTTACCGTGACCGGCGGCAGCAGTTTTATTACAGTTCAAAATGTAACTAATTTTCAGCAGACGCTGACTCCTAGCACATCCTCCATCTCGCCTCATCTTTATGTAAAAGGGAAAGACGAATTTTCTGTTAAAAGAAAGGACTACATTACTTCACTGCAACCGCATGAATCATGGGGCTTCTTTCTCGCCTGGAAGTCAAATTCTTCCTTCGAAAATCAACAGAATGAGAACCAATGATGTCACTCTTTACGTAAATAAAAACAAAACTATGTAAGATTTGAGGTTTTCACGGCGGTGACTATGAAGAAAGCAGTCTTCTGGGATTTGGCACCGTGTATATGTGGTGTTAACCCACGTTTCGGAGGAACTTCGGTTAACACCGCATTCACACGGTGCCAAATCCCAGAAGACTGCTTTCTTCTAAAATAAAACTAAATCAGTGGGTGCTAACTAGTCAGATAACCACCGAGTTTGTTTTATCTGTTCCAGATACTTGGATTTGACATTACGAAGTATCCAAATGTCTCCAAGTGGTTTGCGAAAGCAAAGAAGAGCATTCCTAAATATGAAGAACTGAACCACGCAGGCTGCTTGAAGTTCAAGGAAATGTACGAGAACTTAACTAAAAAGAAGTAATGAAAAACACATAAAGAGTGTTCCATTTCACACGCCGTGTGCTTTGTTGTTGTCAGCTGTTGTCAGAGATACAAGAGCAACATCTGAACCTAAAATATGTATGTACGGTTGTGAATAATTACAGATTATGTTATTGCCACAATTCTGTAACTCTTTTCTAATGTGAAAATATAACAGCAAATTCAGATAAGATGGTGACGTACAGAATATGATCTACTGCACATACCATGAAATACTTACTTCCTTACTCATGGAGCCAATTCTACAGCTACTCAAGAATTTCCCAGCATTTTATGGAACTCGAAGTTTCATTACCGTGTTCACAAGAGCCCTCCACTGGTCCCTATCCTGAGCCAGATCTATCCGATCCATACCATCATATCCTATCTCTCTAAGATCCATTCTAATATTGTCCACCCACCTACGCCTTGGTCTTCTCTGTGGTCTCTTTCCTTCTGGCTTTCCCACCAATATCCTATATGCATTCCTCGTCTCCCCCAATCGTG